GCGCCATTGCACTCCAGCCTGGGTAACAAGAGCGAAGCTCCATCTCAAAAAAAAAATGAAATGAACATTCAATTCATACACACAGAAGTGAAAACAGCAAGTAAACATAAATAGATGCTCAACTTTAGGAGTCATGAGAATAGTTAAAATACCATTTTCTTTTGAGCAGATTAGAGCAAAAATTAAGAAGTTTGATAACAGGAGAATGTGTGAAAGTGGACTGTTGATGGCAGTGTTAAGCATGTACTGTCTGCCAGGCAAGGTGGCTCACTCCTGTAATCCTACCACTTTGGGAAGCCGACGGGGGCGGATTACCTGATGTCGGGGTTCGAGACCAGCCTGACCAACATGGAGAAACCTCATCTCTACTAAAAATACAAAATGAGCCAGGTGTGGTGGTGCATGCCTGTAATCCCAGCTATTCGGGAGGCTGAGGCAAGAAAATTTCTTAAACCGGGGAGGTGGAGGTTGCGGTGAGCCGAGATAGCGCCACTGCAGTCCAGCCTGGGCAACAAGAGCGAAACTCCAACTCTGAATAAATAAAATAAAATAAAATGCACTTAATCTTTGACCCACAGTTTCACATCTGGGATCTATCACAACTATAGTCTTCCAGGAGCACAAAGATATATTTACATAGAAAGTCTCCTAACCAACCTCTGCATACCTTGCTGAATTCAACTTTGCTGTTTTCTTGTAAAACCTGTGAGAGGATACAATGAACATTTGGGAGATGGCTACTCTTGAGGATGACTGCAGATTTCCATTCTCACTTGCTGAGCTTAACGTGCGTCATGTTTGTCTTTATTTAAGCCATTTGTACTTTTGTTATGTAATTATACAATTATAAAAACCAATGTATGGCCGGGCGCAGTGGCTCACGGCTGTAATTCCAGCACTTTGGGAAATGGAGGCGGGTGGATTACCTGAAGTGAGGAGTTCAAGACCAACCAAGCCAACATGGTGAAACCCCGTCTCTACTAAAAATACACACAAAAAAATTAGCCAGGCCTGGCGGCAGGTGCCTGTAGTCCCAGCTACACAGGAAGCTGAGGCAGAAGAATCGCTTGAACCCTGAAGGTGGAGGTTGCAGGGAGTAGAGATCGCGCCATTGCACTCCAGCCTGGGCGACAGAGCAAGACTCCTCAATAAAATAAAATAAAATAAAATATACAGGCCGGGCGCGGTGGCTCAAGCCTGTAATCCCGGCACTTTGGGAGGCCGAGGCGGGTGGATCACGAGGTCAAGAGATCAAGACCATCCTGGTCAACATGGTGAAACCCCGTCTCTACTACAAATACAAAAATTAG